TGGGTGGCCCTGTGGAGGTGTGGCTGGAGTGGGTGCTGGCAGGGACAGGGTCCAGGACCCCTCTTCAGATGGCTGAGGAGCAGTTGAGGTGAAGCATTGAAATTAAGGACATGGAGAGGCTGCGACCCCAGACCCAGAGGCCAGTGGGTGGGTTGCCAAGGTCTGTGCCCATTCAGCATGGGGAGATGGAGATGGGACCTCCCCTGCCTCACTCCCCGCCACGTCTCCTGCCTAGACAGTGGCCGGCCCTCAGGTGGCCCTCAGTCAGCACCAGGAAGGAGTGATTGAGCCAGCGAGGGTCGTGGCACCGTGGGAGGGGTGCAGGGCCGCCCACAGAGTTAGGACAGCAGCCCGCCTCCACCCCAAACCCGCTCTGTTCCCAGGGTCCGAGGGCTGCTCCGCGCAGGAAATGTGTGTGAGCGCATGTGTGTAGATGGGTGGGAATGTGTGTGTGCCTGAGTGTGGGTTCATGTGAGAGTGTGTGTCAATGAGTATGTTTTGTGTTGAGAAGTGTGAAAGAGTATGTGTGTATGCCTGAGTGTGTGAGTGTATGTCATGTGCATGTGTATCAGGTGTGTACTGTGTGTGTGAATGTGCATGGGTGTGTGTGTTGAGTGTGTGCATGTATACGTCCGAGTGTGTGAATGTGCATAGATGTGTGTGTATCCAGGTGTGTGCATGTGTACATGTGTGTGTGAATGTGCATGGGTATGTAACAAGTGTGTGCGTGTATGAGAATGTGTGAATCTGTGTGTATGTATCAGATGTGTGCATGTGTGTGAAAATGTGTGAATGTGTGTATCAAGTGTGTGCGTGTGTGTGTGAATTGCGTGGGGTGTATCATGTGTGTGAATTATGTGGGTGTGTGTATCAAGTGTATGTATGTGTGTGTCGATGTGAATGGGTGTGTATCAAGTGTGTGCATGTGTGTGAAAATGTGTGGATGTGTGTGGTGTGTATCAAGTGTGTGCATGGATGTGTGTGTGAATCATGTATCGTGTGTGTGTGGATACGCATGGGTATGTGTGTATTGAATGTGTGCATGTTTGTGTGAAGGTACATGGATGTGTGTGTATCCATGTGTGTGCAAATATGCATGAGCATGTGTATCAAGTGTGTGCATGTGTGTGAATGTATATAGTTGTGTGTGTATCCAAGTGTGTTCATGTGTGAGCGTGTGTGTGTGGATGTGCATGGATATGTGTGTATTGAGTGTGTGCGTGTGTGTGTGAAGGCATTGTGTGTGTGTACCCGAGTGTGTGTGCACAAATATGCATGAGCATGTGTGTATCAAGTGTGTGCATGTGTGTGTGAAGGTGTACAGGTGTATGTGTATCTGAGTGTGTGTGTTTGAATGTGCACAGGTATGTGTGTATTGCACACAGGTATGTGTGCATATATGTGTGTGAAGGTACTGGGTGTGTGTGTATCCGCATGTGTGCATATGTGTAAATGTGTGACTATGGATGAGCATCTGTGTCAAATGTGTGCGTGTGTGTGTATAGGTGTGTGAGCATGTGTGTGAGAGAATAGGCATGGGTTTGTGTGTCAAGTGTGTGCATGTGTGTGTGTATAGGTGTGTGTGTGTGCGAGATAGGCATGGGTGTGTGTTGAATGTGTGCGTGTGTGTGTGTATAGGTGTGTGAGCGTGTGAGAGAATAGGCATGGGTGTGTGTGTCGTGTGTGCATGTGTGTAGGGGTGTGTGTGTGAGAATAGTCATGGGTGTGTGTGTCGTGTGTGCATGTGTGTATAGGTGTGTGAGTGTGAGAGAATAGGCATGGGTGTGTGTGTCGAGTGTGTGCATGTGTGTATAGGTGTGTGAGTGTGAGAGAATAGGCATGGGTGTGTGTGTCGAGTCTGTGCATGTGTGTGTATAGGTGTGTGAGTGTGTGTGTGAGAATAGGCATGGGTGTGTGTCGAGTGTGTCCGTGTGTGTGTATAGGTGTGTGAGCGTGTGTGAGAATAGGCATGGGTGTGTGTCGAGTGTGTCCGTGTGTGTATAGGTGTGTGAGCGTGTGTGAGAATAGGCATGGGTGTGTGTGTCGAGTGTGTCCGTGTGTGTGTATAGGTGTGTGAGCATGTGTGAGAATAGGCATGGGTGTGTGTCGAGTGTGTCCGTGTGTGTGTATAGGTGTGTGAGTGTGTGTGAGAGGATAGGCATGGGTGTGTGTGTCGAATGTGTGCGTGTGTGTGTATAGGTGTGTGAGCGTGTGTGAGAATAGGCATGGATGTGTGTATCCGAGTGTGTGCATGTGTATGTGTGAGAGTTTGTATGTGAGTGGGGGTAGGTGTGAATGTATGTACATGCGTGAGGGAGTGAGGGTGGCTGTGAAGAGTGCATGTGTGTTGTGCATGCACACCCGCTTCAGAAGGATGGTTTCCACTGAGAGAGTCTGGGGATGAGTGGAGAGAAAGTTCCGGTGGGATCAGAAGGTTCCTGCCTTTCAGACTGCAAGTTTCAGCCCTGCATATTTAATACATTTCACTTCCTGTATGAAATACACACACATTCCTGATAAATAGCTGAACAACCTCTGCTAGTGGACAGCTCTGGGATTTGGGGATTTTTTAAATCAGAAACCGAGGCTCAGCCAGGCGCGGTGGTTCACGTCTGTAATCCCAGCACTTTGGGAGGCGGAGGTGGACAGATTACGAGGTCAGGAGTTCGAGACCAGCCTGACCAACATGGTGAAACCCTGTCTCTACTAAAAATAGAAAAATTAGCTGGGCGTGGTGGCACACGCCTGTAATCAAGCGAGAGAATCGCGTGAACCCGGGATGCAGAGGTTGCAGTAAACCGAGATTGTGCCATTGCACTCCAGCCTAGGCGACAGAGCAAGACTCCGTCTCAAAAAAAGAAAGAAAAGAAACCGAGGCTCCGGCAGAGATTGGGTGGGGTTGATGCCCTGAGCTTGGGTTTCCTCGGTTCTGAAGCTCTCACTGCTCCCCAACTCCATCTGTGGTTCTGAAGCTCCAGCCTCGCCTCCACCACCTCCTCCCCATTCTCACTGCTCTGAAGCTGCCCTCCCAGCCCCGCCCCCCACCCGAGAGGTTCTTTTCATCAGCACTTCTTGTCCACAGCCCCCGTCTCTGTCCTGGCAGACTTTGACTCTGTGGGAGGCCCCAAAGCGGCCCCCACTGTCCCATCTGAGGAATGATTAACTCCTGGTTAGGTGGTGCCCAGAAGCTTGGTCTTTAAGGCAGGTGGCTCCGGCCCACTTGGCAATGAGAGAGTTCCTTCTGCTCCCCAAAATCCAAAACCCTCAGCACCCGGCAGACTAGGGGAACACTTGAGGGCCCAAGGTAGAGCCAGCGGCCCTAGGGAGCCACAGAGGCCTAGAGAAGGCGGGTTCTTGGTCCTCATGCGGTGAAAAAAGAATGACGCGCCTCCCCCAACCCCATCCCAGGAGGACTGCAGTGGCCGGGGTCAAGTCCACCCAACCCGTGGGCCCTCAGGGCTTGGTTGGGGGCTGAGTTTGGGCTGTGGAAGGTACCCAGCGACCCAGTGGTAGCCAGGCAGGTATAGAGTGGTCTGCTGTGGTCCCGCCACTGTCCCCCTGCCGCCTGGGGGTCCAGATATCCCCACTCGAGGGACCCAATGAGGCCCCTTCTGTAGGTGGAGCTGTCAGCCAGGTCAGATGGGGCTGAGTGCACACGGCGGACTCCTGCTACAGAGTGTGCCGGGCAGTGGGCGGGCATGAGGGGCCGTGCAAATAAAGAGGTGGGAGCAGGGTTTCCTTCCTGCCGCCAGGACCCTAGGTATCCCCATCTTCCCAGACGCTGGAGGCTAGCCTGGGCTCGCCAGGAAGAAGCATGAAGGAACACCATCCCCAGCCGCTGCCTCCACTCCCATAGCCGTCCCTTTCCCCTAGGGCCCCCTGCTAGGGGTCCCCTGGCCATCAGTCCCCACACAGGCCACAGCAGAACCCAGGAGCCCTGGCCTCAGGATGGCCAGTGACAGCCAATGTCCATGGGGCCGTCGCTAAGTGTCAGGCTCTGTTCTGACCACGGTATGTGCAGTCACATGCTCAGTTTCCACAGCCACCCTTGAGGCTAGGTCCTGTATGATCTCAGTGTACGGAGGCTCAGAGACACCAAGTGACTGGCCCAAGGTCACACAGCTGGTGGAGGGGAGCCATGCTTCAGACACAGATCCATTTGAGCCCAGGGCCTTTGTTTTTGACACGGCATTGATCTGCCTCCTCCAGCTGGCAGAAGGCAAGAGGTCAGTGTCCTTCAAGCCCCTAGAAGGATCAGGCCAGATGACACGGCAAAAGGATAGGAGAGATGTGCATGGGACTCTCCTGGCACGTGGCAGGCAAAGATCTGGATACCGATCGGAGCCCACGGCTCTGGCTCTGTGTCTGCCAGGGCACAGATTCCCAGCACTCTGCCACGTCCCTGGCTTCCCAGCCCAAGGGGAGTCGACTCTTCCGGCCGTTGGCAGCACCAGACAATTAACAGTTGAGAGTAATTGCTCTTGGCCGTGCCAGCAGCCCACTTTGGTTGATGAGATGGGGAGAGTCAGACACTGATGTGGGACTCCCAGGGCAGGCCGCAGAGGGGACGGGGACCAAGCTGTTAGGAAAGGCTGGCAAAACAGAGGCTCCTGCACCCCGAGGTCCCAGCAGGGTCCGTGGAGCCCCGTGTGACAGGGAGCCTCCGCTCTGGGCCCTGCTCCAGCCTTAGGGGTGTCGAGTTGAGCCTTGGCCTGCATTCCCAGGGACAGCAGGACAGCTCACGTCCTGGCAACTGTCCTCCTGTCTCCATCCAGACGTCCGGCCTGATGAGACAGACAGGGATCCCAATCACCAGGGTCTCAAACAGAAGGGGCAGCATGGCTGTCAGCTGGGCTGGAGCACATGGGGATGAGGGGTGCACAGACTGGGGTGGACCAGAGGTAGGAAGCCCAGGGTGAGGAAATGTCCTGAGAGTGGGCAGGCAGGATGGAATGGGCACCCACCCAATGCCGACCACGCATGTCTCTGGCCCCCAGACAGAGCTGTGAACCAACCCCGCTCACGGCTAACAAGCCCACCCACCATGGCGAGCCCCACTCTGAGCCCCGACTCCTCATCCCAGGAGGCCCTGTCGGCCCCCACCTGCTCCCCGACCTCTGACTCCGAGAACCTTAGCCCCGATGAGCTGGAGCTGCTGGCCAAGCTCGAAGAGCAGAACCGGTGAGTTGGGGACTTGGGGATGGGGTGGAATCTTGGGGTGCAGCCTGGGCCCCCACAGGAGTTCCCAGGTGCCCTCACATTCAGAGCCAGTCCCAGTGTGTGCAAGGTGACAGCCACCTCCAGATGCTGGACGAGGGACACCTCCTTTCATCCCCCCAACCCTGGCTGAACATACGTGTCCCCACCCCGTTCAGATGAGACCGAGGGTTTAGGAGGTCAAGTGAATCTGTGGATCCCCCGTGGTTGATGGAGCCAGGACTGGAGGGAAAGTTGAGCGGGGCCTTCCTGCTTTCCTCCTCTGGCCCCACCCCCGTTTAAAATGCAGGTTTTAGGCTGAACGTGGTGGCTCACACCACCCAACACTTTGGGAGGCCGAGGCAGGCAGATCACCTGAGGTCAGGAGTTTGAGACCAGGAGTTTGAGACCAGCCTGACCAACATGGTGAAACCCTATATCTACTAAAAACACAAAGTTAGCCGGGTGTGGTGGCATGCACCTGGAATCCCAGCTACTCGGAAGGCTGAGGCAGGAGAATGGCTTGAACCCGGGAGGCAGAGGCTACAGTGAGCCGAGATTGCGCCACTGCACTCCAGTCTGGGCAAAAGCGAAACTCTGTCTCAAAAAAAAGGGGGTGCTGAGGGCAGTGGCTCACACCTGTAATCCCAGCAGTTTAGGAGGCCGAGGCAGGCGGATCACCTGAGGTCAGGAGTTTGAGACCAGCCTGACCAACATGGTGAAACCCTATATCTACTAAAAACACAAAGTTAGCCGGGTGTGGTGGCATGCACCTGGAATCCCAGCTACTCGGAAGGCTGAGGCAGGAGAATTGCTTGAACCAGGAGGCAGAGGTTGCAGTGAGCTGAGATCGCACAACTGCACTCCAGCCTGGACAACAGAGTGAGATTCTATCTCAAAAAAAAGAAAAAAAACACAAGAGGGACCCAATCCCTGGAGACCCCCAGGAGGATGGGTTGGGTTCCCCAAGGATCCCTGTCCCTAGGGAGTCACTGGTGCCCCTCCGCTGGCCCTTCCTGTCCAGGCTCCTGGAGGCCGACTCTAAGTCCATGCGCTCCATGAATGGCTCGCGGCGGAACAGTGGCTCCTCACTGGTGTCCAGCTCCTCGGCCTCCTCCAACCTGAGCCACCTGGAGGAGGACACGTGGATCCTGTGGGGCCGAATCGCCAATGAGTGGGAGGAGTGGCGGCGCAGGAAGGAGAAGCTGCTCAAGGTGGGGGACGGCCAGGCAAGCGGGGCAGGGCCGACGGCGTGAGCGGGTGGTGTGGTCACTCAGCCACCGGGCAGCGCCAGGGTCTGTGGGGCCTCAGCCTGGGCACAGTGGCAGCAGTGGAGATGTGCAGGCACTTTCAGAGTGTCCTGCCAGGGCACAGGGACAGGAGAGAGTGAGTGAGGGTGGTGCTGGACAGGCCCTGCACCTCAGGTGCCCATGTGCTTGCTGCCCTGTAGTGCCCACGAAGAATGGGGGCACAGTGGCTCACGACTGTAATCCCAGTACGTTGGGAGGTTGAGGCAGGTGGATCACCTGAGGTCAGGAGTTGAAGACCAGCCTGGCCAACGTGGCGAAACCCCGTCTCTACTAAAAATACAAAAAATTAGCCGGGCGTGGTGGTGGGCACCTGTAATCCCAGCTACTTGGGAGGCTAAGGCAGGAGAATCACTTGAACCTGGGAGGCAAGAGGTAACAGTGAGCCAAGATCACGCCACTGCACTCCAGCCTGGGCAACAGAGTGAGACTCCATAAAAAAAAAAAAAAAAAAAAAGTTTAAAAACTAGCCAGGCATGGTGGTGCACACCTGTAGTCCCAGCTACTCAGGAAGCTGAGGCAGGAGGATCGCTTGAGCCCAGGAGTTCAAGGCTGCAGTGAGCTATGTTCACACCAGTGCACTCCAGCCTGGGTGACAGAATGAGACCCTGTCTCTAAAAAAAGGGGGTAAAAAAAGGATTGGGGACCATGAGTTCTGTGCCATACTTGAGGCCTGAACGAGCCACGCCTGAGGAGCTGGGCTGAGTGGCCACGGGGAGGCTGCACTGAGACCGAGTCCAGCCCCGGCTTCCCACTCCCGTGGCCAGGAGCTGATCCGCAAGGGCATCCCACACCACTTCCGGGCCATCGTGTGGCAGCTCCTGTGCAGCGCCACGGACATGCCAGTCAAGAACCAGTACTCTGAGCTGCTCAAGATGTCCTCGCCGTGCGAGAAGCTGATCCGCAGGGACATTGCCCGCACCTACCCAGAACACGAGTTCTTCAAGGGCCAGGACAGCCTGGGCCAGGAGGTCCTTTTCAATGTCATGAAGGTGAGGCCCAGGGCTCCCCACTCCCTCAGTCCCAAAGGAAGGAGCAGTTCCCCAGTTCACCGGCTGTGCTGGTCGGCGGGACCCTGCCCTCAGGACTCGCTCTCTTCCAGGCATACTCGCTGGTGGACCGGGAGGTGGGCTACTGCCAGGGAAGCGCCTTCATCGTGGGCCTGCTCCTCATGCAGGTAGGTTGCTGGGGGGTGGCTGAGATCCCGCCAGACAACAGTCCACGCTGGGCTCGGCCTCCAAGAGATGAACAGAAGTGGCGTGTCCTCCCCCCAGCGTCCTGCTAGAGGCAGATCCTCCCTCTCTATCCACACCCGTGATCTCTGCCAGTCCCCAGGCCAAGGCCCAGTGAGTGGCACCTGTCTGGTTGGGTCCTGTCTGCTGTACCATCCAGGACAGAGACAGGGTTTGGAGGGACCTCAGACTGGGGAATTAGGCCATCCAGCGTGGTGTTTATGGGCCTTGGGGGCTCTCCTCCAGAGAAACTGGGGGGCTTAGGACAGGGAGAGAGGACGCAGCTGGGAGTGGACAGGAGGTGTCCTAACCAGGTGGGTACTGGCAGTGGCTAGCCCTGGGTTCAAGTCCAGCTTCCCTGTTTCCCGCCAAGTGGCCCTTGACAGGTGACCTCAGCCTCAGGTTTTCCATCAGTAAAACAGTGAGTGGGGACACAGGGACCAGCAGTGCGTTGTGAGGATCTAGGGAGCCAGATACCAACGTGGACACAGGCCCCTTACCCCAGGGCGCTGATGAGCAGCGAAACGCTCCTCCCCACTGCCCTGAGCCCTCCCACCTGCCCATCCCCCCAGATGCCCGAAGAGGAGGCCTTCTGTGTGTTCGTGCGGCTGATGCAGGAGTACCGGCTGCGGGAGCTCTTCAAGCCCAGCATGGCTGAGCTTGGGCTCTGCATCTATCAGTTCGAGTACATGCTGCAGGTGAGCAGGGCCACAGGTGAGTAGGGCCACAGGTGAGCAGGGCCACAGGTGGGCAGGGCTGCAGGTGAGCAGGGCCACAGGTGGGCAGGGCCGCAGGTGAGCAGGGCCACAGGTGGGCAGGGCCGCAGGTGAGCAGGGCCACAGGTGGGCAGGGCCGCAGGGGAGCAGGGCCACAGGTGGGCAGGGCTGCAGGTGAGCAGGGCCACAGGTGGGCAGGGCCGTAGGAGGGCAGGGCCACAGATGAGCAGGGCCGCAGGAGGGCAAGGCCACAAGTGGGCAGGGCCACAGATGAGCAGGGCCACAGGTGGGCAGGGCCGCAGGAGGGCAGGGCCACAGGTGAGCAGGGTCACGGGGGAGCAGAACTACAGGAGGGCAGAGCTGGCACCCCGGGCCGTACCCGGGCATCTCTTGGACTGAAAATTCTAAGCTGTGAAATCACACCTGGATGTTCCAACTCCAAAAGGCACTCCTCTCCCCATACCTCACTGCCCTGAAGGATGCTTGGAGGGACAGGAGAGCCGCCACTGAAGGGGGGCTCCCAGGGCCGCTGAGGCAGAGGGGTGGGGCAGGCTCACATCGGGCAGAGCCGCGGCCACCTCCCTGTCTGCTCCAGAGTGTGGTGGAAGGAGGGAAAGTGTTGTCTGCCTGCCTGATTACCAGAGAGCCACAGACGTCTGTTTATAAATAGCAGCCCCCGCAGGGCCTGCTCCTGGCTGGCAGACAGAGCCGCCAAGGCTGTGCACGGACATATACACATCCGCGCGCACACACACACACCGGCCTGCCTCCGCTGCCATGGCAGGTGGGGCTGTGCAGTCATCCCTGGATGTGACAGCCCCACTCCCTGGGCCTGGAGCATGGGCAGTGCTGTAGCCTAAGGGGGCCTGGCAGTGCCACAAGCAGGAGGCCTGGGCTGCAGAGAAGGTGCCACCCCACCCCAGGCTGGGTAGCAGAGCCCTCCCACAGCCAAGCTTGCAAACTGAGGGTGCAGAGAGCCCCCGGCACTGGGAGGAAGCCCGGGATCCTAATGCCTTCTTCAGCCTCAGTTTCCCCAGCCATCTGCCACTTTCCGGCTGTCTAGAGTTCAGGCCAATCCAACACAGCTTGCACAAAGCTTTATGCTGTGGCCCGAGGGAGGTACAGCAACTGGCAGGTCATGTAACAAGGTGAGGGGAAGCTCCCCCCAGGGCCAGGGGCTTTCACCTGCCCATGCTCCACCTCTGGCTCTCAGGGTGTCTGTGAGGAGTGATCCAACTCCCCCAGCCTCAGACACACCCTCTCAGGCTGTCGTGAGGACCCCATGAGCTGCCACAAGGGCATTGCCTACCCAGGGTGGGCCCCCAACACACACAGGCGGCTGCAGCTCTTGCCATCCCTGCTTGTCCCCACCCCATGCTGCTCAAAGCTCTGGGGTGCTTCGGCCTCCCCCAGACAGATTGCTGAGGGCACACCAGGAAGGGAGCCTCGGGTTGCCCAGCACAGGTCCAGGAAGGCTCCCTGGAGGCAGGGACACTGAGGCCCAGCACCCCCCGGTGGGAGGGCGTCCCCCTCACTGTGCCCACCTGGCCTCCCACCCCTGCAGGAGCAGCTCCCAGACCTCAACACCCACTTCCGCTCCCAAAGCTTCCACACATCCATGTACGCCTCATCCTGGTTCCTCACACTGTTCCTGACCACCTTCCCACTCCCCGTCGCCACCCGGGTCTTCGACATCTTCATGTATGAGGTGAGGACCGATGGTGCCTGGGGAGGGAAGAGAGCCCGTTGGGGGTGGCTGGAACAGGAGCCTCCCTGCCCTCCTCCTCCCACTGCCTTTGCTGCCTTTGCAGGGGCTGGAGATCGTGTTCCGAGTGGGCCTCGCCCTGCTGCAGGTGAACCAGGCGGAGCTGATGCAGCTGGACATGGAGGGGATGTCCCAGGTGGGCCAGGAGGGCCAGGGCCAGTGGGGCTGCCCCCAACCAGGGGCTCCGAGTCACAGGATGCCCTCGCAAGTGACAGAGAGGGCCTGGCTTCGAGGGTGGAAGGTGGCGTGCCTGACCTCCCTGATCTGTTTCCATCCACTCTGTTCCCCTGAGGTCTCCCTGAGGAGGCTGAGCCCTGGGAGCCCCACTGCCCACCTCCTGCCCCAACCCTGCAGGTTCCCCGAAGCCTGATGGCAGGTCATGAGTCTGGCTGACCATGAGGGCATCCCCACCCTGCCCCCCGGCCTGGTGAGGGCACATGAGGGAGTGCAGGGGTCTAAGCAGCCTCACGCCTTGCCCCGCCTCGGCCTGGCCTGCCTGGAGGTCCTGCTGCTGGCCAGCCTGCCTCCCACCGCCACTTCTCTGCTGTGCAGGCCCCTGCCTCCTCCCAGCGTCCTCCAGCTGGTGCTTCAGGGAAGAATGCACAAAGGCCACGGTTGTGTCCGTGAACACGGGCAGGCATTGTCCACAGCTGCCAGAGGGGGCCAGCTGGGCCGGGTGCGGGAGCCTTGTCCCCCACCCGCTTACCTTAACCCTTTGCACAGGCCCAAGGCCCCCAGCATGCCCGTCCTCCTTCCCCCACGAAGGTCCCCTGTGTCAGATCCCCCGACCCTCAGCCTTCACTCCCAGGAGAGCCTCCTTGGCCTGCTTCTCTCTTTTCCTTTTTCTTCTTTCTTTCTTTCTTTTTTTTTTTTTTTTAAAGTCGGAGTTGCTCTGTGGCCTAGGAGTTGCTCTAGGAGTGCAGTGGTGCAGTCCTAGCTCCCTGCAGCCTCCACCTCCTGGGCTCAAGCAATCCTCCCGCCTCAGCCTGCTGAGTAGCTGGAACCGCAGGTGCACACCACCACGCCCAGCGAATTTTTTTTTTTTTTTAGAGATTGGGTCTCACTATGTTGCCCACACTGGTCTCAAACTCCTGGGCTCAGGCGATTTCCCCCACCTCAGCCTCTCAAACCTTTGGGATTATAGGTGTGAGCCACCACATCCAGCATCTGCCTGCTTTTCTTCTGGAAACTAAGGCTTTGGCTGCAGGCAGCCCCCCATTCCCTCCCCTCACACTCAGTCTTTCCGGTGCTCCTCAAACACTGAGGACACGGCGTTGAGGACATGGCGACATCCTGGGCAGACTGGTTCCTGCCCCCCTCCAGGGCAGTAGGGCTCGGGCGGTCCCCAGTGGTCAGGGCCTGCATCTTGGTGACCTGGTGACCGGCTGTGTCCCCACAGTACTTCCAGAGAGTGATCCCCCACCAGTTCGACAGCTGCCCGGACAAGCTGGTCCTCAAAGCCTACCAGGTCAAGTACAACCCCAAGAAGATGAAGAGGTCGGTGCCTGCTGGGCAACCAGGGTGCTGGTGGGAAGGGGGGACCCCCGAGGGCATGACAGTAACCATGGGGCCCTCCCGCTCTGCAGGCTGGAGAAGGAGTACGCAGCCATGAAGAGCAAGGAGATGGAGGAGCAGATTGAGATCAAAGTGAGTCCAGGGGCCCGGGGGGCGGGGACAGGCATGGGAGGCCCTTGGGGGCTGCCCTCCGTACTTTAAGATCGGCCACTAGGGGGCGGGCCTTTCCAGCGCACAGGCGGACTCGGCCGTCCTTGGTGGACAGGCCTTGGCCTACCTGCGCCGTCCTTCACCTGTTAGGCCAGCTGTGAGCGCCTCCCCCGCCTGACGCCGCGGTAACCAAGACTGTCAAGGTCCCTGCCCTGCTGGGCCGTCCAGAGTCATGGGGAAGCAATCAATAAACCACTGAACTAGAGTGTGGACTCTAAATGCTCTGGACAAGGATGTGCGCGGTGGGCAAGGCTGACCTGGGCAGCGGCTCCGGGCCCAGGGGGTCCAGGGCTACAGGCCCAGGGCAGCAGCGTGCCTTGGGGGCTGGAGGAATTTCAAGAAGGTGCAGTGGAGAACCCCCCAGGGGACCGCCTTATGGAGAAAGATGGAGCACGCAGGGCCCAGACAGCAGGGTGTGTAGGACAGGGCGTGGGCACTCACCTGGGGCCCCTGGTTCCTGGGGCACCTGGCCCGCCAGCCCTACCAGGTCAGGGGGTTCCCTGAGTGTGCAAAGCTGCTCTCTCTTTCCTTGCGTGTTATTCCCTTTTCATGTGATTTTAGTTATTTACTCAACAAGCATTTATTGCCGGGTGCGATGGCTCATGCATGTAATCCCAGCACTTTGGGAGGGGGAGGCAGGTGGATCGCTGGGGGTCAGGAGTTCAAGACCAGCCTGACTAATACAGTGAAACCCGTCTCTATTAAAAATACAAAAATTAGCCGGGCGTGGTGGCACACACCTGTAATCCCGGCTACTCGGGAGGCTGAGGCAGGAGAATGGTGTGAACCTGGGAGGTGGAGGTTGTAGTGAGCCTAGATTGCGCCACTGCACTCCAGCCTGGGCGACAGAGCAAGACTCCATCTCAAAAAAAAAAGAAAGAAAAAAAAACCATTTATTGAGCACCTGCTGTGTGCCAAAGTCACAGCTGAGACTGAGGACGCCCCAGTGATAGGAATGGACACACACAAACCCAACACAGCCTGGCTCCATGCTGTTCAGGGGCAGAGCCACACAGTGGCTAACACTGGAGTCCAACAGACAAGGACCGAAATCCAGCTCCAGCAGGCACAGTGGCTCACACCTGTAATCCCAACATTTTGGGAGGCCAAGGTGGGAGGGTGGCTTGAGGCCAGGAGTTGGAGACCAGTCTGGGCAACATAGCAATACCCCGTCTCTACAAAAATATAGAAATAAATACAAAAGGCACACCCAGCTCCTGCAAGGATGGGTGTGCTTGGTGCTGTAATGGGTTGAAGCCAGAGAGATGACAGGGAAACCCAGGGACCAGGGATCAGGGCTCCAGATTGCTATGAGGACCAGAGACCTGTGCCTGAAATAACTCTGACCCAGCCGAACTGAGGAACTAGAGCAATGCCCTGCCCCCCTCTGACTCAGTTTCCCCACATGACATGCATCCATGGCTGTCAAGTCTGCGGTTCTGTCTGACTGCATTTGCTTCCTGGGAATGTTCTAGGTGTTTCCATCACCTTTTCTCCCCAGAAGAAACCCAGGAAATATTCTGTGTGACCTGCAGTGTGGCAGGACCCTCACTCACCTGCCAATCCAAACAATTTCTGTACCACCTTCATATCAAGCAAGGGGGCGCAGGTACAGTTGAGATTCAACTCGTTTGCAAACTTCACCTGCTCCCCAAAGGGTCCTGGGGAACCTAAAGTGCAAATATCTTTTTCTTTTTTTTTGGGGGGGGGGTGCTGATGGAGTCTTGCTCTGTCACCCAGGCTGCAGTGCAGTGATGTGATCTCAGCTTACTGCAACCCCCACCTCCCAAGTTCAAGTGATTCTCTTGCCTCAGCCTCCCCAATAGCTGGGATTACAGGCATGCGCCACCACTCCTGGCTACTTTTTGTGTTTTTAGTAGAGGCTGGTCTCGAACCCCTGACCTCAGGTGATCTGCCTGCCTCAGCCTCCCAAAGTGCTGAGATTACAGGCGTGAGCCACTGCACCTGGCCTAAAACTGCAAATATCTAGCCAAAATCCATCAGCACAGAATGGAAGGCAAGAGCAAGGGAAACGTCATCAAAACCCCAGCCAGGGAACAGGCAAAAACCACTGGGAACAGGTTGCTCTCGGCAAGTCACGGGAATGTAGTTGTCGAGGGAGGATGCGTGATCAGCAGGCTGGACCCAGACTCAAAGAGGAGCCTGCCCCCAGAATTGAACCCGGGTGCTTGAGGCAAAGCAGCGAAGGGTGGGTGGGGGCTACTCCACAGCTGCTTCCCCCACTGATTCCCCCACAACCCTGGGCAGACTGACCCACCTGTGGGATGGAGTCTTCTGAGCGGTTGTGGGTACTGACTGGCCCCCAAACACACACATGGCCACGAAGGGACTCACATTATTTTTACTGAACCCAGGTTTCTTTTAAAACTTTATTTATTTATTTATTTTGTAATAAAGCCAGTCTGGACAGGAATTGGCCCTGTTTTCTGAAATCGCTGACCCAGAACGTAAGATGCTGGCTACACCCTGCCCGGAAAAGTGGCCTGGCCCTAAGGGGCCCGGAAAAGTGGCCTGGCCCTAAGGGGGCTGACCCCGCGGTGGGTTGAATGAGGGGTGTGTGTAGACAGGCGTGGGGGGCGGCCTATGACGTGATCTCCCCCCACTCCCATAGAGGCTTCGGACGGAGAACCGGCTCCTGAAACAGCGGATTGAAACCCTGGAGAAGGTGAGGGGCGTGGCCACCGTGGGGACCTGGTCGCCATGGGGCGTTGTCCACCATGCGGGGCGTGGCCGCCAACCTGGGACTGACTCCTCCAAGTCTTTTCCTCTCTGGAGGACTAAGCAGCCCTACCCTCCTGCCCCAGGACCCGACCTGAACCCCATTTGGAGTGCCGTAGAACTGGGGGCGACTCGTATTGTGATTAATCCTGGAGTAGGGGCGAGTTACAACCCAGTGGCCTGCAGCCACGGGAATACATTTGTGTTCCGCACCCTCCCCGGCGGCGCGGACGGGGAGGAGTGAGGAGGAGGGAGAACTGCCGCTTTGGTGGATGAGCCCCGTAATTGGGCCACAAGGCACCGCACCCTGTAATTTGGAAGTCTCGCCCTCAAAAGAAAGGAAAGGAAACGCAGTGGAGTAGAAGCGTGGCGCCATGGTGGGGAGCCACAGCCCGGATTCTGCTCCCCAACATGTTATGGGGGTGGAATCGGGGACTCACTGAGCCCCAGCCCCGGAAGCCCCCACTTCCTGCTCCTCATTCGTCCTTACTTGACCCTCCACTGGCCACAGGAAGTGGGTCGGCAACCGTATTTGACTGCCCTCACCCCAAAGCCTTGTTCTGCCTTAAAATTAAAACGCACCCCACTCCTCTCCCACTATCCGGGAGGTCTGCACGAAGCCGAAATTCCCTCCGCCCCTCCCAGCCCACAGTTTTGCAGCCAGCCGCAGCCTGGCTGGCCGTGGAGAGTGAGACAGTGGGTTTCCCAGCCCTGCGGCCTCCCCCGCAGCCGCGGGCACCCCCGACCTCCCCACGCACACCGAATCCCTCTCCAGGACGGAACTGGCTCTAGCTTTATTCTTCCTCCCGGTCCTCTCCTGCTGGTTCTCTGGTCTTCCCTTCTCTCTCCCCCGCTTCTAGAGATAGTCCACTGCGTTAGTGACAAGTGATTCTTGTCTGTCTCCCCTCTCCTGTCCCCGCGCCTTCCGCTCTGCCTCCTCCCCCTGTCGCTGGGAATCCCCTTCGCCGGGTAGGAGAGCGCTGCTCTGGCTGATAGGTTAATCCAGGTACTGTAGCTTTTTATCCCCTCTCCGGATTCCTTCCTGGCCCCTTCCCTGCACCCTGCACACGACAGCCAGTAACCGCCTCTTCCCTACCATTCTGCGGGCAGGCCTGGCGCCATGCATGGGGCAGCTGGGGACCGCTTCTGGGGGACACAGAGGCTTCCCGGTGGGCGGGGCATGTGAAGTGGGGAGAAGTGTGTGTGTGGAGGGGCTGTCTGTGAGTGCGTTTGGGTGTGAATGTCTACACGCATGTACAGAAAGCTTCCTCCAGGCGACACAGGGTGGGGACCCAGGAGGGCTGGGGAACCTAAAAGCATATTTACATAAGGCCCTGGTGTGTGCAGTGCTGCGGTCACACACACGCACAACGCACACACACACGCACACACACACGCATGCACACGCACGCACAACACACGCACACACACATGCACAACACACGCACACACATGCACACACATGCACACACACGCACACACACGCACACACACGCACAACACGCACACACATGCACACACGCACACACACGCACACACACACATGCACACACGCACACACACGCACAACATGCACACACACGCGCGCAGACGCGCGCACACACGCACAACACGCACACACACGCCACACATGCGCGTGCACACACGCGCACACACACGCACAACACACGCACACACACGCACAACACACGTACACACATGCACACACACGCGTGCACACACGCACAACACGTGAACACATGCACACACACGCACAACACATGCACAACACACGCACACACACACATGCACACACACACAAAACACACGCACACACACACGCACACACGCGCCCCGGCCCTCACGCTGCTCCTCTCTGCTCCTACCTGCAATGCCTGCTACCATCTTCTCTAGCTCACCTGCTCCTGCTGCCACCTCATCTTGAATGGCTTTATTTGGAAGCTGCCACCCGCCACCTGGTGGCTTTGAGCCTGGAATGGGGGGCCCAAGTTGGGTAGTGGACGAAGATGAGGTGGGGGAAAAAAAAGGGGGTCTTAGCCCCAGGCAGGTGGAGGCCCCAGAGCCCAGGACTGGAGAAGATGCCCCCTGGGAGTCCAGTCCTGTCCTGCTGGGGCCTTGGCTGTCCCCAGATCCTCACCCTCACTGGCAGAGTCTGGCACGAATAGGCACAGGTGGCCTCGCTGTGCCCCTGGATAAGGACCCCAACTGGGGCAGAGACCGAGAGCCAGAGTGGGGAAGGAAATTGAGCTTTCCAAGCCCAGGGCTAGCTCTGTTCCTCCCAGGCTCCTCCAGGTGTCCTATTCCTGCCTGTCACCCACCCACGTCCCCAGGCCCAGTGGGACGCCCATCCCAGGCTCTGAGTACGGGAGGCCCCCCACCTCACTTCCACCCACCTCCACTCTCTGGGCCTCCCCCTGTGGCGGGAGGCAGGGCCTTGGGTGGGAGCCGAGGGTCACGGCCTCCCCCTCCCTGCCCCCATCCTTGCTGTGCCCAGGGGCAAGTGACACGGGCGCAGGAGGCAGAAGAGAACTACGTCATCAAGCGGGAGCTGGCGGTGGTGCGGCAGCAGTGTAGCTCGGCGGCCGAGGACCTGCAGAAGGCACAGAGCACCATCCGGCAGCTGCAGGAGCAGCAGGTACAGGCGGGTGTGCGGGGCTGCTGAGCGGGGCCACGCCCCGCGCCCCCGCCCCACAGTTTTCTTTCAGGGCTCAGATCTGCGGGCCTCAGCGCCTGGCCCTCCTGTTCCTTTCTGGGGTAAGGGGAACCCAGAGACAAGCGCAGATTCTCCCCCAGCAACTCCACATTCTGGGACATCCTGATTCCCATTTCTTGCCACCTCGTAGGGTGTCTGCAGTGTCTGACTTCCCAACCCCCCAGCCTCAGCAGGGAGACCTCTGAAGATCGGGCTATCCCTGCAAGGTTCCCTCCATGTCACAGGCAGCAGACAGGGCTATGACTGCTTACCGAGGCCCTTGCCTCTCCCCAGAGTCTGAAGAATTGTTGGGCGTCCCTAGGGGGCCAGCCATGACAAATGGGAGGAGGGCAGTCCAGGACTGTTTGGGGAGCTCTGAGCCGGCAGGGTGGGGCTGAGGGGGCACCCTGAGTGTCTTGTGGGCCATGAACTTTGGATCCCATCATGGGCAGGCCCATGAGCTGGGCCCCCCCCCAAAAAAATCTGCTTCTCCTGAAAGCTTTTAGAACCTAACTGCGACCTGGCACAGTGGCTCACAGCTGTAATCTCAGCACTTTGGGAGGCTGAGGTGGGCAGATCACCTGAGGTCAGGAGTTGGAGACCAGCCTGGCCAACATGATGAAACCTCGTCTCTACTAAAAATACAAAAATTAGCCGGGTGTGGTGGCATGCGCCTGTAGTCCTAGCTACTCAGGACGCTGAGGCGGGAGAATCACTTGAAGCCAGGAGGCGGAGGTTGCAGTGAGCTAAGACGGCGCCACTGCACTCCAGCCTGGATGACAGAGCAAGACTCCACCTCAAAAAAAAGAAAAAAAAAAAAAAAAACTTAATTGCAGCTGCACCTGGCAGTCGGGCTTCCTGATTGCAGAGACCACCAGTGGCTGCAGCCCTAAGCACCGCAGGCCACTGGGACATATGCCCCAGAGGGCAGGGAGCGATGCTGTAGGCCTCACTGCCATCCTGGCCTGACCCAGCAGGGCCTGGCGGTGGGGTGTGGGTTGGAGAAACCATGGAGTGCTTGAGAAAGAAGAGCCATCCAATACAGAGGTGCCCCCTCCACCCCCAGGCCCAGAGACTACAGCTCAAGCCTTGGCCCGGGGATTCTAGTTGATCCCCTGCTCCTGGGGAGGGGAAGGGCAGTTTCACTGTTTCTCACTTGTCCCTGTGAACCCCATCGGTATGATGCTGCTGTTGTGGCCCTCAGAGTCTGCGAGCAATCTCGTCCCACCTTGCTGTGAGGCAGCATGGACGTTAGGGAAACTGAGGCTGGGCTCATCCCACCCACCGCATGATGCTTCCTTTCAGGCTCGTCAGAGAGACTCCTGAGCTCTGGCCTTGGGGGGGATGCAGTGATGGGGGAGGCCCAAGGCCACCTCCTCAGGCCCAAAGGGAGGCCACTACAGGCAAGATGAGGTGGCCCAGAGGAGCCACAGCCTGGCAGGGCCCCCACATGGGGCCTGGAGGCCATCTGGGCTGAGGCAGAGCCACCGTCACACATGGATCTCAGAGACCCACAGGAAGAGGGTGGTGGCTGGGAGGGCTGAGGCAGTCCCCTAGAGAACTGCGCTACCAGGCCACAGGGTCAGTGAGAGGGAGCCCGGCTCCCACCCCAGGGGCCAGATGTCCTTTTTCAGGTCCAGGTGGCAGTGTCCATCACTCCGGGGGCCCCCCCACTGGGGAACTTCTGAGAAGCCAGGGCAGGGAGCAAGAGGTTGATACCCACACTCTTTCCCCATCCTTCCCTGTTTGGAAATGGAGGGTGGGATGCAGAGGAGAAAGGTGGAGAGACAGGTGCACAGCCCCAGGCCTCGCCCCCACCCCTGGCCTTACCTACCATGTGGCTGGAATGGTGACCACCCAGCAAGAACCCATCTCCCACCCTCACCAGTGACCCTGGAAGACCACAGTCACTGGGGTCCCTCGGGGCATCCGAAGGCCAAGGCAAGTCCCCTTTCAGAATGTCCCCTCTGTGCAGCCTTTCCAGGAAGGAAGCTGGACCGGGCCAGCTGCATGGGTGCCAGGACCTCTAGGCCCTCTGCTCTGAGCATCAGGGGGTCCAGCCCATGATGCCCCAAACCTGGGCCCCTCTCCCTGCTGAAGGGCTCTGGGGAGGGAGGCAGAAGCCAGCAGGCATGGACGCTGCCCATCCCCCAGCCATGGCCTGGGGCCCCACACAGCTCTCTGCCTCCCCCAGGAGAACCCCCGCCTCACAGAAGACTTCGTGTCCCACCTGGAGACTGAGCTGGAACAGTCGAGGCTGCGGGAGACGGAGACACTGGGGGCCCTTCGGGAGATGCAGGACAAGGTTCTTGACATGGAAAAGGTGCGACAGGAAGCAGGCGGGCAGGTGTCGGGGGAACCCTGGGGCATAGGAGGGGTCCTGGGTAAGCTTTGGGGGTGACCCCAGGTCAGAATCCCCCACCCCCATGCACACATAACCATACATATGCACACACACAGCACAACCCCACGTGGCCATGCCCACCCTCCTGTATGAGGCAAACTCCAGCAGCGTGGCAGCTTCTATGAGCTTCCTGGATACCCCCATCCCACCTGGGTGTGTTTCCCCAGGTACCGGGTTCCAGGAAGGAGGGAGGGAGGGAGAGAGGGGGATGGGGGAGGGGGACAGGAAGGAGAGAAAGGAAGGCCCAGGCCCACTGGGGCTCCCTCCCTACACATTCCCATGGAGACACCATCCCAGGCCTTCTGGGTCCCTCCCCAACTGCTCTCTGACTTGGCATCGACTCCACTCTCCCACGGAGCTCCCAGAGGAAGGAAAGCACCCAGAGACCCATTCACACATGCAGCAGGAGCCTCCACCCCTCCAGCCTGCACTATTTTGGGAGTCCTCCCAAATGGAGGACTGAGAGGCCATCTGCTTCCAGGCCCTCATCACCAGCCAAGAGCTGGGCTCCGCTCCCGCCTCCCTCCACTTCACAGGGAAGTGTGCCTCCAGGACACGCTGCTGGATCCGTCCCAGCCCTAGACCCAAACACGGGTCAGTGCGGACCTCATCTAGAAAGCTGGATTTGGGTCCTGGAGCATCAATCCTCCATCACGGAGCCCTGGGGTGCCAGGCCAGGGCCTAGGCTGGCACTCAGCCTGTTCCCAGTGAGAGCGACTGCCTGGCCTGGTGTGGCCTGGCCTGGGGGCCAGAGGGCAGACAGGGTGTTTCTGCTGGGGCTGGTTCTCTACCTGATCATTCCCCTGAGCGGGTGGATCTCAGACCTCGGGGAGTCTGAGTATGTGCAGGACGGCGTTTATGGGGGTTGCCCTAGGACACCCTGTGAGAGTAGGTGCTGTTATCACACCCATTTTACAGCTGAGGAGCTCCAGCCGGTTCCACAGGCGAGTCTGCTCCCCATGGGCCTTGTCCAGGGGGTCGCCCTCCCCCATCTGAGCCGCCCAAGGCAGAGCTCAGGAGGAAACGTGGCTGGGGGCGTTTGTCCTGCAGGAAGGGCCATGCAGCTGCGCTGCTCCCCCAGGCCCTGATCCCTCTCTCCCCGCAGAGGAACAGCTCGCTGCCCGACGAGAACAACGTGGCGCAGCTGCAGGAGGAGCTGAAGGCGCTCAAGGTGCGGGAGGGCCAGGCGGTGGCCTCGACGCGAGAGCTGAAACTGCAGCTGCAGGAGCTCTCGGACACCTGGCAGGTGAGGGCCGGGTGGGCGCCGGCGGGCAGA